AGGACGGAACAGAGTCCATTGAGAGATGCATCCGACATGTACATGTTTATGTATACCACATGATTTTTCAGCAGTAAAAACAAACTTAGAGGTCTCCAGGCGAAAGCAGAGTCTGCAATGGTTTTCTACAAAAAATGACATGATCTGGGTATCAAGGTGCAGTAAAAACATCCAAAGTCAGAACACCAGGATGGAATTACTCTACCACTTATAAGCAGTGAGACTTTGAACACATTCCTTAACATTCTCTAAATTATAGTTCTTCTCATGTGGAAAGAGGGGGTGATAATCTCCACCCTACAGAACTGCGGTGAGGATGAAATTAAGTAACACTGTAAAAACTTTATCCTCACATAAATCATTATGTAAACCAGGACACTTCTGAAAGTATTGAGAAGGTACTATTAAAAATTATACCAGGGCAAGAGATAAAAACCTGAACATCTGGTCACCCTATTTATTGCCATACCTGACACACAGATGGCACTAAAAATATATCAGTTCTTTAATCTGTCCCTGAGCCTTGAAGGATGTACAATAATTTCCCAGGCAGAGGAAGTGGGGAGGGGGAAACATGTTAAGAAAAAGAGGGGACTCCACTAGCAAAGGAATATTCCAACGCAAAAGGCTTGTGAAAAGGTTCATATCATTCATAAATATAATTGCATAATTATAAAATATCACAGCTGGAAGGAACTGAAGTGTCATTTAATCCAAACCATTTTATAGATGAAGAATATGAACCTCTGAATGGTTAAATGACAGGGGCATCTAGCTTCAGAGCCAGGTTTCAGCATCTAGGTTTCCTGACTGCTCACCCAGGGACCTTCCCACTATATCATCCCTCATCTCTAAGAAAGATTTCTCCTAGACCGGAGCTGTCACAGAAATGATAGAAAATCTATAACTTCCCTCAACAGCTTCTCTCATAGTTCTTAAATGCTTACTGACTGGGTCCAACCAGTTGCACAGCCAACCGGTTCTGTCTTCAGGGAAGATAAGTACAACCAGCAGCTAGCTCCCTCACCATGGCGGAGGAAGCAGGTCCACTCCACTTAGCAATATTTACTGCTCAGTTAAGAAAGAATAGCTTCTTTTTCACTTACATAATATCTTTTCTTTGGATTTGGATTTTCCTTAGATTTGCCATTCATAATAGATATGCCTAACAGAGCAAATAATTTAGGAATAGGATTTCATAAATAATATACTTCATATAAAGCTCATTCTTCCAATTGACGACATAGCTCCCTAGCGTGGAAGCTATTGATATGTTCCTGCACAGCATGAATGAACTAACTGGCACACAGTCCCATCATTAACAACGGCTCACAAAAGGGAGTGTAGAGAACAGCAGAATCTCTGGGACGTGTGTATAATTTTTTCCTCAAGGGTCCTCAAGCGGGCTTCCCTGGTGGCGCAGTGGTTGGGAGTCCGCCTGCTGATGCAGGGGACCCGGGTTCGTGCCCCGGTCCGGGAAGATCCCACGTGCCGCGGAGCGGCTGGGCCCGTGAGCCATGGCCGCTGAGTGTCCACGTCTGGAGCCTGTGCTCCGCAACGGGAGAGGCCACAGCAGTGAGAGGCCCGCGTAACGCAAAAAAAAAAAAAAAAAAAAAAAAGGTCCTCAAGTTACTCTGATACTCTCCGGTCTTCCTCCCCAAATTCTCCCCACCCACTAAGCCATTTTTCATAGCTCTGGCAGTAACTTGAGCATACAGAATGTCTCCACCTGGAAAATAAGTTAGAGAGGAGAGATTTCCATGCTTATTTTGTTGTACTGTTGAAACCTTGTTCAACCTTGCTCTTCTCTAAAAGCTTTAGAGCCCCTTCTCCAGAGTTCATTACTCTGTTCTCTGAGATACCATGGTATTTGCATCCACCCCTATTATAGCTGTTAGCCACATCCTCTGTTCTAATAATTGCTCAGATCTCTCTGCTCAAAAGATTGCTACCCAGAGATATGCATGAAGCTTTATACTGCTCTGTAAACCCAGTAACAGCCTGGCACATAGTAGGAGCTCAAATAATCACTCACTGAATGAATTACTTGGGGCACCCAGGGAACAATATTAATACAGAACAGTATCCAGGAACTGTTTTTAGGACAAAGGAAATGATCTATGTAAAAGCACTGTAAGTTCTTTGGAAGAAAGGAACTGTAAAACTACAAGGCATTACTCTCCTTTATTGCATGGCAAATCACTACAGCACTTTCCTTAAATGGTACTTATTGGCCTGGAAAGCTAACGTCTCTCATTAAATGCCAGACTCCCTGAGAGTCACTTATGTAACTGGAAGCACTTGAGTGATTTTGTTGCAAGAAGTCATTTTGTCTTCCAAAGTGCTGCACACAGAATTCCTTATCTTACCTAGCTCATTATTTGTAACATTAAGGAAATGATTAAAAAGACTCAACAAAAAGTTTAAACTTTCATATGCTAGAAAAAGTGAGAAGGAAAAATAGCTAAGGCCTGTGAAAGATGTTTAAAAGGTAGGGTGAGAGTGGGGTATTACTCAAAGCAAGCTTATGGAATTAACCACAGGAAGTATTTAGGCTCTCAAATCCTGTTAGATGCATGATATTCCAAAAAAGTGTACTTAAATATATATTTTTTATATATATGTGTATATATATATACACACACATATATTTCGCTTTCATAAACGTGCTTTCTGGCTTAAAGAAGGGACAAGTAATTGCAAGATGATGTGTTCAAAGAAGGCGATATGATACAGGCACGAGTTTTAATTTCACCTCACATGATTTTTCACAAAGTATAAAAGGTTGTCAGAGTCAGTGAAACAACTGCTGGATTTTATGTCCTACAGCTATTTTATTTTCTTTATGCCCAAATCAGATGGAAAGAGTCGTTCATCTGTTGGCCTACTGATACTCTTTTCTTAAATCCTTTACAAGCATGTTGTGCAAAAACAAATAGCAAACACACTTCCCCGCACTGTGAGTGGAGGTTTAAATCCAAAAATCTGTTCTTCAGGCCGCCAAATGTAGTCCCTGACGTCACAAGTCAATACAAAGCTCCTAGTGTCCATCAGCAATTCTACCACCACCCTCAAGAAATACAAATAAAACCACATTTCAAGCTGCTGATCAAGTCACCACAAATATATTCGTTTATCATTACATGCATTTGTTCCAAATTGTCTCTCAGGGTTTTATGAATTCCAAATGTACTTTTTGAGATGTTCACACTGAAATATAAACATTTAAGCCTTATACTCATATATTATTGATTCCTTACTAAAGAGATACCTCAGCATCTTCCCCATATTACCATAACTTCCAAACAGGTATTTTCAGCAAGCATTTCTTGAGCCCCTATCATATGTAATGGGGATACGAGTTGCTATCAGCAGCTGTAAAACTTGATTTTTGCCTCAAGGAGTTTGTATCATTGTACACCTCAAAGAAAGAAATGAGGGCAGGGGGAATCAAAATACTTAAACTGTTTGTCCCAAGATCTTTTTTTTTTTAACATCTTTATTGGAGTATAATTGCTTTACAATGGTGTGTTAGTTTCTGCTTTAAAACAAAGTGAATCAGCTATATGTATACATATATCCCCATATCCCCTCCCTCTTGCATCTCCCTCCCACCCTCCCTATCCCACCCCTCTAGGTGGTCACAAAGCACTGAGCTGATCTCCCTGTGCTATGCGGCTGAGAAAAACATATCTTTCACTTTATGTTACCACATTTAAAATATGTTCAGCCTCCCCACTGATGACACTATGAATTTATTTTTTTCTTTCTCCTTCCAATGGTTTGGTGACTGTCATATGAATATGATTCCAGTGACCTCTGGCCCGCAAACCTCTACACACCATGGGGCCATTACAGGGCACTGAGATTTGATACAAACATGTTCAGGCCAGAGAACATGCGTCATATGTCCTACTGGCTGGAGAGAGGTTTTGCCTTTCAAGCTCTCAATCTTTATACTTAATGGAATAAACATTAGGGCACACCCACCACGTGCCCAGTATATTATATTAAGCAATGCAGATACAAAAATGAATATGTTCCTTGCCTTCAAGAAAGCAAAGTCAGCAGAAGGCTTATACATAATAGTATTCTAGAAAAGCTTGTAAAGGGCAAATTTCATGCATTTTCGTACTTCTTTTCTTTTTCAGAGAGTGGCCTACCCGATCATCTCAAGGATCGTCACAGATTAACTCCTCTCCTTTAATCCTAACATTTAAACAGAATGCAAGCCCCACCTTCTGAATTCCTCTATCACTGCCAAGGCTCGGATCTGCTTCTCTCTCTGCCTGGAATGCTGCAATAATTTCTGTATTTATCAGCAACGTTTTAGTAGGAAGGGATAGAAACCTAATTCAATCTGGCCCAAGTGCAAAAACAAACAAACATACAAAAGGTGGAGTCAGGAAATTTTCTGGAAGGAAGGAAAGGTCAGGTGGCCCCTAAAATTGAAAGAGTAACTGTGGAACCCAGTACAACTACAGGGCACTTAGAGACCAGAAACTAGGGCTCCTTTCCTGCTAATATTCGCTCCACCTGTCATCTCTGTTTCACCGAGTGCTGTGGACTTCTCTGTCCTACTGCAGCAGGTCTGCCCAGGCAGCAGGGAGTACAGCTGCACTGAGCTCAACAGTGCCCTGCCTCCACCTGCCACCACACAAAACTCATATCCACCTGGAACCTCTACCTTAGCTGGAAATAGGATCATTGACAATGTAGTCAAGTTAAGGTGAGGTCATACTAGATTAGGGTGGGCCTTAAGTCAGTGACTGATGTCCTTATAAAAAGAGGGACATTTGGGCCCAGAGACACACAGTAAGACAGCTGTGGGACAGCGGAGGCTGAGACGGAATGCTGCATCTACACACGAGGAAAGCTAGGACTGCCTAATGCTCCCCTAGAGCCTTCAGAGACAACACAGACCCGCCGACAGCTTGGTTTTAGACTTCTACCTTCTAGATCTGTGAGGAAGTACATTTCTTTTGTTACAAGACACCCAGTTTAAATAGATAATCAATGAGGACCTACTTATAGCACAAGGAACTATACTCAGTATCTTGTAATAACCTATAATGGAAAAGAATCTCAAAAAGAATATATATATGTATTTTATATATATAGATATATATATAGATATATCACTGAATCACTTTGCTGTACACCTGAAATTAATGCAACATAGTTAATCAACTATAGTCCAATAAAAATTTTTTTAAAAAGACACCCAGTTTGTGGGACTTTCTTATGGCAACTCTAGGAAACTAATATAATGGCCAAGAGCATACCCAAATATCACTTCTGTTTAGGAACCCCAAAAGAAAAACATACTTCTGTCTTCCACAGCATATTTAAAAATCTAACCCCAGCATCCGATTGGCCTTACTTGAATCAGATGCCTATTCTTCGACAGATCAAAGCACCCAAGGAAGGACGTAATGCCAGCACATGCCTAGGAAATGTATGCATCTTTCTGACTCTAGAGAAGGGGCAAAGGATGGTAAATGGAAGTTTCACCAAAAAGCATATGAAAGGAGAAAATCTCAGACAAAAAGACAAAGATACCAAAACAGTGAGGAAGGGATATCAAACAGACAAATTGACATCCACTATGTTCTCTTATCTCACCTTGTCCTGCCATTAATCCATTTTCCAAACTGTCGCTAGACTAGTCTTCCCCAAAGGTATCGCTCAAAATCCTTCAGCAGCTGCCTTGAATTTTCAGAGTAAAGTATCGCATCATCACGTAACAGTGTATCATCTTCTTGCCCCTGTCTTCTGTACCATCCCCAAAACTCACCGCACCTCCAGCTCCAGGTGCTTTCATCACACCCCATCTCCTTGCTCCTCCCTGGAACCTTCTCTCTACTTTTCTCCACTTTATTAATTCCTATTCAACCTTTAGGATTACATTTAAATATCAACAGTAACGTGCTTCTATGCACATTACCTCACCTCTCTAGCTTCAGAGGTGTCCTTTGCAATATGAGGGCTGGGCATTATTCATTTCAGGATAAAACTCTTCAAACCTCAGTGTGCTTCCTGGGTAATTGACAAGTGAAAGTCTCTGCTTTCTTCTGTGAGTCCAACAGGGCTGACAGAAAACACAGAAATACTCTAAATGACTGCTAGCAAATTGTTATCTATCTAGCAATAAAATGCTTCCTGTTCACTGGGGGAATAAAAAAAAAAGGTACCATGTGAGTGTTGTGAGTTAAGTTTTATTTGGGGGCAAAATGAGGACTGTAGCCCGGAAGACAGCATTTCAGACAGCCCTGAGAAACTGCTCCGCAGATGCAGGGAAGAGGTCAGTATGTGATTTTAGTAAAGGTATGTGCATTCAAGCACACATTTCAGCAGAGGCCTGCTGTTAGTCATGAGGCACAGATGCCACCATTAATGATTTTAGTGCTTTTCTAGGTATGAAGAGATGTAAGAATTGGGCTCATAAAATCTTCTCCTGAAAATATCCAACCATCTGAAGGCTTGTTCTGCCTTTTTTTCCCACAGCACAGAGTGCCTCATTCCTAATCTCCACCCTGAACTCCATTCAGGGTGTGCTGCAGGTCAATGGCTGCAGTGGCTAGTGACTTAAGCCTTGTAGAGGCAGATGTCAAGTGCCCGTTTTTTGTTGGCATTCCTAATTCTGAAATCCTAGATTTGCTGTAAGCAATTCGGAAGCTAGAAAGAGTTGTTATGCAGCAGATGAAAGAAATCACTTATTTCAAAAAAACAGTGGAAAGAGTAAAGGAAGATACTTTGGAGGGTTATTGTGAAAGACCTGAGTCCCTCTTGGATACATTCCCTGGTCTCATTCTATCTGGAAATCCCATGTAACTTATCCCCTGCACATCATCATAAAATCTGGATAAGATTTCAGGGGACAACTCATAAGCTAGTATCTTTTATTTATACCTCAACATTAATTGTCATATGTAGACCTGAACCACCTAAGCTCTAGACTCAGACTACTTTGGTTCAAACGTATGTTCTGCCATTACATACATGACCTCAGGGAACTTATTCAAATTCCTAAAGTTTCTAAAGTTCTGTAAAATTGGGACAATAATAGTACTTTTCTCATAGGGGTCCTATAAGGATTTAATGGCCTAAGACATGTAAAGCAATTAGAACAGAAGCTGACATACAGTAAGGTTTGATAAGTGTTTTGATTACATTATCTCCAGTCTTTTAGCAGGACCATAACAGAATAAAGGAAAGTTCAGGGTGGCGAGACAAAGAGCATGGGGCAGACCCCATGTACGAGAGGGGCTGGCAAGACAGTTAATGGAGAAGGAAAAGAGAGATGCTACACGGGGCCTCTGGAGGCATCCTTGCTTCAGCAGGAGCTGGTGTTCATTCGGGAAAGTTGAATAACAGAGGGCTCAGCTACCGATTCGGGGCCAGTCATTGCTCTGCCGTAGCCTCTCTCAAACTGGAAGCTCCTGTAGTTGGACTGCAGGTAGAACTCTCATCTTCATTTTTTTCCCCTGCTTCTCCATGCTAACTTCTGGCAGGAAGGGGAAACTTTCAGTGACGCAGCTTAGAGTTCCTCTATAATCCAGCAGGGAAAAAACTTTCCTATATGGTGTGGTGATCACCCTGCTCTCCTAGCTCACAATGGTGTGAGGGCCTGCTGAACATGTCAAAAGTTTTAAAACAAGAGTTACGAAAAGAAAATCACACAAAGTGGTGAGAGATGTCATTTTAGACCTAGTTACTGTATTAGGGTTCTTAAGGAAAACAGAAGCAATAGGATATGTGTGTATGAATATTTATACATGTATATATGTATACGGAGATATAGATACAGACAGAGACTTCAAGAATTGGCTCACATGAACGTGCGGGCTGGCAAGTCCAAACACTGCAGAGCAGGCAGGCCAGAAACCCAAAGAAGAGTTGATGTGGCAGCTCAAGGTCAAAGGTAGTCTGCTGGTAGAATTCCCTCTTCCTTGGGGAAGGTCAGTCATTCTTCTCTAAAGACCTTCAGCTGATTGGGTGAGGTCTGCCCACATTATGGAGGGTAATCTGCTTTACTCAAAGTCTACTGATTTAAATATTAATCTCATCTAAAACATATATTCACAGCAACATCCAGACCACTGGTTGACCAAATATCTGGGTACCGTGGCCTGGCCAAGTTGACACATAAAATTAACCATCACAATTACCAATTAGTCTTTTTCGTTCCCAAATCCCAAGGAAATGCTTCCATTTTAACCAACCAGATACTAGTTAGACTAGCATTGTGTCTCTGACTCTCTCTTTCTAAAGTAACAAAGACTACTTCAATTACAAATTTTGTTTTATTTCTACTGTGTCTTGAAAAAATAAAACTTTCAGCCCCCAATTCTCTGAGCGTAGTATCATTAGGTTCCAAAGTGCGTGTTTCCAGATATAGTCATACTATGGAGAACCACACCCCACAGGCAGCTCCTTAAAATTGGTGTGAATTCATGAAAAGATGCTCAACATCACTAATTATCAGAGAAATGAAAATCAAATCTACAGTGAGGTACCACCTCACACCAGTCAGAATGGCCATCACTAAAACGTCTACAAATAACAAATGCTAGAGGGGATGTGGAGAAAAGGGAACCCTCCTATATTGTTGGTGGGAATGTAAACAGGTACAGTCACTATGGAAAACAGTCACTATGGTTTCTTAAAAAAACTAAGATTAGAGTTATCATATGATTCAGCAATCCCACTCCTGGGCATATATCCAGACAAAACTATAATTCAACAAGATACATGCACCCCTATGTTCATAGCACCACTATTCACAATAGCCAAGACATGGAAACAACCTAAATGTCCATCAACAGATGAATGGATAAAGAAGATGTAATACATACATACAACGGAATATTACTCAGCCATAAAAAGAATGAAATAATGCCATTTGCAGGTGGACCTAGAGATTATCATACTAAGTGAAGTAAGTCAGAAAAAGAAAGACAAATACCATATGATATCACTTACATTTGGAATCTAAAATATGATACAAGTGAACTTATCTACGAAACAGAAACAGACCCATACAGAGAACAGACCTGTGGTTGCCAAGGGGGTGGAGGGGTGGCGGAGGGAGGGATTGGGAGCTTGGGATTAGCAGATGCAAACTATTATATACAGAATGGATAAACAACAACGTCCTATTGTATAGCATAAGGAACTATATTCGATATCCTATGATAAACCATAATGGAAAAGAATATGAAAAAGAATATATATATGTACAACAGAGTCACTCTGCTGTACAGCAAAGATTAACAACATTGTAGATCAACTATACTTCAATAAAATTTTTTTGAAATATTAAAGTTTATTAAGTATAAAGAAATGAAACTGCAGAGGTAATCATAAGCTAATATAAAATACATGTGAAATACTGGAGGAGTCACAGGCCACAGTGTCAGTACAAAGCTGTAAGGGATGTTAGGACATTGCAACTTGGCTGCTTCTACGTACGAGTTCACGGATAAAGGGCTAAACCATGATGCTATCAGAGGGAACTTAGTGCACTGGACATGAGATCAAATGGTCGTGAATTCAGTGATATATCTTTAGAAAAGATATGATGCCAGATTCCTAAGCCTTCTCCCTAACTGTGATTTGGGCTTTATGCTTTTTTCTTCCCTCTGTCTTTGAGAATCTAGGAGCCAGAACACTGTCTCTGCAGATAAGTAATTAGTTGTTATTTATTCCTCTCTGTTAACTTGGATATGAATGTCTCCATTTTTCTATTTTGACACTGATAATAAGAACTGCACCATGAGTCAACATTTACAAGACACATTGGAATCCTGAAACTAGGAGTATGGAGCGAGGATTACAATTTCTCACCAGAAAATGACCTCCAAGGTCTCTTTGTGTTCTGAGATGCTGTGATAGGCTCCGTTTGGTGTCCATTCATCATAACCAAGGGGCCAAGGTCACGGATGCAATAGTAAGAAGCCCTGGTCTAGCTCAGACACTAAAATGGTGGGAAAAGAATGTGCTCTCAGCATCTTACATTAACAGCCAATAAAATTCAACATATCTTAAGAGCGAATGATAAAAATGAAAGAAAATTAACTTTAA